ACTATATTTATTTGTTCTTTACGGTCATCAACACTTGACGTTATCTAATTGACTAATTTTTGTCCTTCTAACCGATATAAATCATCTCTGTTAATCCTATGCTGTCCAGAATATTATAGTTTCAAAATCCTTGACTTGTGCTAGGCAAGCCGTCATTGTGTTGTTATGAAGACTTGGACTGTTAGTAGACATTTGTTGATTCTATTAGATTTGGAAAAGTAGGTTTTGTTGACTCCTAAAATGTCTGGTTTGGGATTTGTGGAATTTTATAGCTATTTCTGACAGGTGACATCTTGGTGACATTGAGTTCTTTCTAAGAACATGTGTAATCTTTTGCTTTATTTCATTTTCCTTTGACATCATGGAATAAAAAATGCAAAAATGTTCTCTTAGGATGGTGAGATATCCTTCATTAATCTTATTTGGTACTTAATTAAATTTGGACTAGAGGAAACAAGGTGCCTGCTTCCAAAGGTTCTCAGTGATTACTCAATGTGGGATGGACTCAATTCCTGATGTGACAAGTTGTGACAGTATGTGTGACATATTTTCTACCAGGGAAGCTCATTAGAGACCCAGTGCCTGGAGTGTTTTGGGGGGACTGATTATGTAGGCACCCTCTGCCGAGCGTGTAACAAAATTCCAAATTCTCAGAAGGAAAACAGGAGTTCAGCAATCACCATATTGTTTGTATAAACCATTGAGGAATACCAAGACACACTTATCATTTAGATTGGTGATACCAGTTCCCATATCAGCAAAGGTCAAACTTTGTAAACAAGTATTTCCAAGTATAAGCAGTGTCAGGCCTGCCACTGTTGCTTCTTCTGAACACTAGTTAGTAGGACTTTGTTGTGACAGGTGGTATAGACCCACTGTACAAAGAGACAGTAGGGGTCACCCAGGCAACACATCTTACTTCCTGGACCCACCAGTTAGAGGTGTGTTTCTGTTTTTCTGTTGCTTTACTGAAGGGTTTAGTCCTAGCATCAAAATTCCTGTATGAAAGGGAATGTGAACAGAAAGTTCTTTTGTCACATTCTTTTGACCAAATCATAGAATAAATGTATGGAGTTCACAGCATCATGACAGTTTATGAATTGTGTGTAGATCCCCAGTGCTGTCAGTCTCACCCAGCCTTCTTACACATGTGGGATGTTTTAGGATTCAATAGACTTTGAGGATGTGGCTGTGAACTTCACCCAGGAGGAGTGGGCTCTGCTGGATCCTTCCCAGAAGAATCTGTACAGAGATGTGATGTGGGAAACCATCAGACACCTGGCCTTTATAGGTAAGGATAACATAATTCCTTTACCTAGTCAATAAGAGAACAAGTGTTTCTTAGTGATCAATGCTGTTCCATGATTTGGCACAATTTGGTGAACAAATCAGGAATGCCCTAGTGTACCAAGAACCTGGAATTTAATAATTTTTCTATAATTTTGTACTCATTCATAATAATTTTTATGGGTCTACATTTTAGGGAAAAAATGGAAATACCAGAACATTGAAGATCGGTACAAAAATATTGGGAGAGATCTAAGGTAATTTGCACTTGTAAAAGAAATCAGTGTCCCTGGAGAGAATCATAGTATGTCATGAAATTTTTTTTTTTTTTTTTTATAAGATGACCGGTAAGGGGATCTCAACCCTTGGCTTGGTGTTGTCAGCACCACGCTCAGCCAGTGAGCAAACCGGCCATCCCTATATGGGATCCGAACCCGTGGCCTTGGTGTTATCAACACCGCACTCTACCGAGTGAGCCACAGGCCGGCCCGTCACGAAAAATTTTTAAAAAGCAAGAAAACAAATAAGCCTAGCCTCACATTTATATATGCTTAGAGAATTTTCTCCAAAAATATATACTTAAATATTACATAGATGTTCAGTGTTTGCAAAATAGTTCACTTGGAAACAGTACTAAGAAAACTCATATGAATGTTATTGTTTTGATAATAGCTGTGATCAAGACCTCTTGAGAGCATTCAATCCATTCATGTTTAACCAATACAGAGAGGACATAAAGCCTGGACTTTCCCTGATAATGTTAAAAATATAATCATAATACCTATTATTAAGTATAAAATCATTAATAAACAAACCCTTAATATTGTGCTTCTCATTTCTTACAGGAGACATATGGTAGGAAGACTCAGTGACAGCAAAGAAAGTAGTCAATGTGGAGAAACTGTCAGCCAAATTTCAAATCTTAATCTCAACAAGAAAACCCGTCCTGGAGTAGAAATGTGTGAAGGCAGTGTGCGTGGAGAATGCTCCATTGGTCATTCATCCCTTAATGGGCACAGCAGAGCTCACAGTGGACATAAACCATATGAGTGTCTAGAATATGGAGAGAAGACATATGAATATAAGGAAAATGCAAAAGCCTTCACTTCTCACCACTCCTTTCAAGTACATGAAAGAATACATACTGGAAGAAAATCCTGTGAATCTAAAAAATGTGGTAAAGCCTTCAGTCTTTCCAATTACATTCAAACACATGAAAGATCTCATACCAGAAATAATAGATACTATGAATGTGAAGAATGTGGAAAAGTCTTCATTTCTCTTGCAACCTTTCGAAGACACATGATAATGCATGCAGGAGATGGACCTTATAAATGTGAGAAATGTGGGAAAGCTTTCATTAGCCCCCGTAAGTTTCAAGTACATGAAAGAAATCACACTGGAGAGAAACCATATGAATGTAAACAATGTGGTAAAGCTTTAAGTAGTTTCAGTTCCTTGCGAATGCATGAAAGGACTCACACAAGAGAGAAGCCCTATGAATGTAAAATATGTGGTAAAGCCTTCAGTCTCTCCAGTTCTTTTCATTTACATGAGAGGATTCACACTGGAGAAAAACCTTATGAGTGTAAAAAGTGTGGTAAAGCCTTCACTTGTGCCCGTTATTTTCGAGTGCATGAGAGGACTCACACCGGAGAAAAACCTTATGAATGCAAAACGTGCGGTAAAGCCTTCAATTGTTCCAGTAACTTCCGAATACATGAAAGAACTCATACTGGAGAAAAACCACACAAATGTAATGAGTGTGGGAAAGCCTTTAATTGTTCCAGTTCTTTACGGAAACATGAAAGGACTCACACTGGAGAGAAACCCTATGAATGTAAGAAATGTGGGAAAGCTTTCAGTCGTTCCAGTTCCCTTCGAAAGCATGAAAGAACTCATAATCAACAGAAATCCTTCATAAGCAATGTGGAAAAGCTTTCATCATCACACAGCCTGTCTAGCACACTTGAGAGTACATAATGAGGAGAAACCCTATAAATTAAAAAAGTGTGGTCAAGCCTTTTGTCATCCCAGTTAAATTTGAAGCCATGAAAGAACACAAAAGTGGAGATAAACTTCTTTTTTTTTTTTT